ATTCTACTGAGCATTTACTATGTATCAATTATTATTTGAAGTTTTTTTTTTCCTTAATGTATTTGGCTCAGCATCTCACTATGCAACTCCTAGCGATTCTCATTTTCAAACTCCCCACTGCTGGGATTACAGGCATGTGCACCCGAGGGTGGGGCTGGCATAGCATGTGGTGCCAGGGATTGAACCCCAGTCCCTATGCTTGCCTAAGCAGGTACTGAGCCCACTGAGCTATCTCACTGGCCCTTCAAGTGTTTTTACTTAGTCACATAACTCAAATTCAACATGATGTTGTGGTACAATTACATGTCCTTTTTTGTTTGGAGGCAGGACCTTGCTTTGTATTTCAGGCTGGCTTTGAACTTGCAGCACTCCTCTTGCCTCAGTCTCCCAACTGCTGGGACCACAGGCTTGTGACACCAGGCCTGCCTATCCCCTAGCTCAAAAAATCAAAGCTCTTAGGTTAGTTTGCCTGCGATCATTCAATTAGTGTTGAAGTCCTCTATGTGATAACCCACACTGCTGCTAGAGTACTGGCATTCTATATTCATAGGATTAATAGAATCAGAGTACTATCTCTACTTCTAAATTACACTGAGAAAGAGACCAAAAGAACACAACACTGCTAGGTCTGCTAGGGACACCAATAATTTTAACCTTTGGAAGGTTAAGGTAGGAGGATCATTGTGAGTTTAATGCCAACCAGAACTATATAGTGAAACCTTAAGAAATAAAAACAAAAAAAGACCATGGCACTAAAAAGATCAAAAGTTATGATCAAATCAAAGTTATACTTGAGTTTACTGCACATTTTTCAAGTCAAAAAAAGAAAACAACAGATGCTATGTATCATCTAATTAGTCCTCAAATCAAAGTAGAGTAATTACAAAGTGGAAGTGGAATAATTTTTAAAAAATCTTATTTGGTTGTTTTATCTTTTTATAGGGGCTAGGGAGATGGCTCAGTGGAATAAACGCTTCCCTGGTAAGTGCAAGGGCCTGAGTTCAATCCCCAGTTCTGAAAAAAAAAAAAAATCTTTTTATATCAAGGGTAAATGTTTGAACAAATTTTTACATTTATGTAACTTTTTTCTGTTTCTAAATAAACCATTTGTTTTTCCTACCAGCAGTGGTAGACAGATATTTCCCTATCATGCACTTAACACACTGAAGCTCAGAATGAATAATTTGCCCAGTTACACTAAGAGGAAGTTGGAGTGATAACTTTTAACTTTGCATGGAAAAAACCCATCTATGGTTCTAAGGCAAAGGAAAAGGCAGACCTGTTTATTCCCTCCAACGAGACAGAATACCTAGACTCAGGTGTTCAAGAAGCAACAGCTAATGAGACTCATCTGCACACCTCTGGTGGCCTTACTCTTCATAGAAAAATATTCATGTTGTTTTGCATCTCCAATTATTATTATTAAAATTGCAAGCAAAAAATGGGACCTAAAGAGGGCTGAACAAGATTTTTTTTTTTTAGTACTGGGAATTGAACCCATGATCTAGCATTGGCTAGGCAGGTGCTGCACCACTGAGCTATATCCCAGGCCCCAGATTTTTTAAGAGGCAAACCTAATGAGTGTTGCAAGTCCCTCAATGGTTTACCACTACTGAGACTTCTTAAAAAAATTTTTTAAGAATTTTTTCCCAACATCTATTAGCTAAGATCCCATAAATTAGCTGTATCAAAGACCTACATCAGCGAAATTCAAATCTACTAAGATGGTTTTCATCTAATGTATTAAAATGACACATTAACCACAGAATGCTGGCTATACTATTTTACATAATCATGGAAAGTGACAGCTGACAGCCAGTTTGGGACAAATGACAACTGTTCACATTTGTCTGAAAATGCTAAAATTGCTTCAACATTTAGTTTTCAAAGAAAACTAGTATGAATAAATGAGAAAGTACATCAACTAAAATTCCAAAATTGAAACTACAGATAATGGTGCTTTTGATCTGCAGTATTAGTTTCTCAATTTTTAGTGTCCCAAAGTATAAGTAAACACATATCAACAGCTTTCAGTATTTTCATATATTTTATTTTTAAACACTTGTAATTTTGCAAGCTAGCAGTAAAATATTGTCCCCAATATTTTACTAATTAGCACCACATAAGTTTTTAAAGCTAACTGAAACAGTTTCACTGTGATTATAAAATAAGATCATTTTAAATGCCAAACTAGTCTCCACATGTGATCCATCATTAATTATGTCATTTTGGCTCTATGCACAAAGGTAAAGTCAAAAGATGAGCTACATTAATGTTTTTGTCAGTCTAACAAATTGAAGTTATCAAAGTTTGAAGGAGTATCTACACTCTATTATATAAAGACACTGAAGGACATTGGATCAGCTATAGAAATAAGATATTACATAACTGATTTGTTTTTTAGAAGTCTATTATTAGAACAATGAAATAACGAAAAACTCCATGGTATGTGTATCAGTTACATATACGGTTTACAATACATTAATATTCTCATGCTTTGCTTATTAGTTTGGCCTTACCAAAAAGCCACTGAAATGTCCAGGACAACTCATAGGGACAGCTGAAAGCCTGAAATAAAATTACCCAGGATAAAAAGGACCCCAAGCCATTCATACAATTATAAATGCAAGCTTAGACATTTAACCTGTTATTAGTCTCACCTGAAAATAATCTTTCAAAATATGGGGAAAACATACTCCTCTTTCACATATTCAATCCAATTTTTTTTAAAAGGGTTATTTTTATTTCCTGTTTAATGATAAAAGTTCTTTAGAACCATGGGGTTAAATTCTGAGCTATGACTGCTTACTAGCATGCCTGTTTTGCATACCAGTAGAATCAAATCCAGTTTTGCCATTTGTGGAGAACTATGACAAGATACAAAAGCATGTGTTTGCCATAAATAGCTCTGGCTAACAGCAAACTGCTCACACTGAGTAGATCAAATTCTCTATAAGGAGTGTAATATGGGCTAAGGCCAAATCCTACTACTGTTTAAGACTGCTCTACTGATTCCTTTTACCAGTTCAATTTGAAAAATATATATTCCTAAACACCCATTAAACTTTTGAAGAACATTTTATAACTTATTTTCACTATGACCAAATAAACATGAAAAACTTTTCTACTATTCAAAAGTGTAAATGTAAATAGAAAAAAAAACCCATCTTTATTCAGAAAACAAATTATATATTCAAGAGTACTTATGTCAAAGTACAAAAAAACCCCTCTGACCTCCATATTAGAATAAACATGCTTATAAAAGTACTGCTCTTTAAGGATGGTATTTTACTCAGTGGTTCTAGGTTATTTTTAAAACTAAAGAAATCAAAAAATTCAGAAAATATCATGCATGAATGTCATACAAAAATTTTCAAATGACCAATGCAGACACTAATAACTGTTTACCTAAAAGTTGTTCCACATAACATTTCGCAAAATTTCCAAGGAAAACAAGGCAACATCCTGTAATATGCCACACTTTTTATTGCAACGTGGCCATTTTTGTGAGGGTAGGGAGTTTGATCTTAAAACAATGTTCCATTTAAGGCTTTTTTTATACAGAAATTGCCATCATGACTGATATTCAAACTATCTTTAGTGTTGCAAGACTCATGTGGTAAACATAAAACTACACTTATTCAGTAGTGTACACTCAACAAAAAACACAAAGGCATTAATACTCTAACATCTATTTAAGATATGCAGGTAACAGGAATGAACACTGAGGTACTAGGATAAACTGACAACAGTTAATGAAACTCAATTGGCATTCTTTTCAGAGGATTACACTCAGTACAAAAAAAGTGCTTTTAATGCATAGTGTTATATTTGTGCTGCCATGTCACAAAAATAGGCTTGCCAAGGCAGGTGAGGTGTATGAATGCTGAGTGCCTCACAGAACTGCAATCAAGTGCAACTATAAATAATACTGAAAAAAAGTTTGCCATCTGACCAGTGGCTAATACTTTCAAGGCATTCAATTAGCTTATCCTCTACAGTATTCTAAGCTATTCACATTGATAATCACATTCATTGTAGTGCTTGCAGCAAGCGAGGCATGTAACCAGTAGTTTTGGCTAAAGATGGGAAGGCATTCCTCGGGCTATACATAAAAGTAACCATGTTAAACAGTCTAATGGCAATCACTGACAAGCTGCTTAAATGAATGGTATCTCCTTCATCCATTATGTTGAAAGAGTCCAGTGGAAAGGGAAAAAAACAAACAAACAAACTCTAATACTATTCCAATGGACTGAGCTGGAACAATGAAAGCCCCTTAAGATCCAGATGGCACTTGACTGTCATTTTTATAAGGGTTTCCCTTCCAGTGAAACTACTACATTGCCTCCCAGTTTCTCTCCAAGTGTTGAACGGTCCTTAATATCATCCAAGCCATTTACTTGCCACTCATGTTTAATTCCTGTAAATTTCTTTTTAATGGCATCTTTAGAGCTAGCATAAATCATCTTGCTTTTTAATGGTGCACTTTCAGGAGCCTTTCATATCATTAAAAACTTTGATGACTTCATCATTCACTGTAACTCCAGATGCCATAGTGCCCGCGCTGTGACTGCGGCGGTGGCTCGGGCTCGGGCTCGGGCTCGGTGGCACTCTTCAATTTTTTTTTTTTGGCAGAACTGGGAATTGAACTCAGGCCCTTGCACTTGACATGGAAGTGCTTATTCCACTGTGCCATCTACCCGGCTCCACCACCTTCAATTTTAAAAGGTGTTGTCTTCTCTCTAGTTCTGGAGACCTTGTTTATAGCCAGCAAAATTGGCCTTGTACCACAGTCTGCCAGACATATTTGCCTTTTAGAAGTCCTGTTCCTGTCAGGCCTTCCCAGACTCTAAGATAACAGAAAAAAAAGCTCAGCACTGATTTGTAAGGGATGAGGCGGCCCAGCACACGAGGCTGGTGTGTGTTGCCCAGTCTCAGTTTTCTTTTCTGTGATGAGGGACTGATGATGTCTCCACTCTCATGACCTGGGTCCCACGTGCCCCCTCTGCACTTCCTTCTTTCCTTGCCCCTAAGTCTGCCTACCTCTCCTCCCCCTGCTACCACTGGCCTGTGCTCAGTTCCGCAGAGACCCAGCCCTGGAGTATTTACCTTCTCATGCTGAAAGTTTCTGTGCAGGACAATCTTCTTCAGAGTTGCGGCTAGCTGAGCAGTCCGGTTATAATCCTGGTCTTGTGTCTTCATGGTTCCTAGCAGGGTGAGGAACAGAAACAGGAGACCCAGGCCCATGGCTTCAGAGCAGGGCTGAGCCGGCAGGGGCTGCAGGAGGGAAGCGAAGGCTGAGATCCAACCGAAGAGGAGTCAATTATAGGGCAGGTGAGTGTTTCCACCCTTGAGAAACACGTCACAACATGTGTGCTCTTTCCCCTCTGTCTACAATTGTGCAAGCTGGAGAGAAGGGAAGAGGGCAGGGGACATGGGGGACATTCCCAGGACACCAAGGTCCTTCAGGCATGAGGTCTCCCAGTTGGTGCTCACTGTGCCTCTTCTGTGCATTCAAATGGCTCTGTCAGTCAGAAGCTCAGGTCCTGACAAGACGACATCTCTGACTCTGTCCTCCATGTGGGTTGTGTGGCCAGGCCCCTTCCCATACCTGCAGATAGCAAAGAATGTGCTGGGCATAGTGGAAGATGGTGGCATGAGCCTGCAGTTCCAGAAGTTTGCAGGCTGGTGCACGAGGGTTACCAAAACTCAAGGCCAGCCTGTGCTGAGCAGAGAGCTCAAGGGCAGCCTAAATACTTGCAGAGATCCTGTCTCAGAGGAGAAAGAAAGAGACAAAGAAAGAATGTTCCCCTCCCCCATTCTCTGTGCACTATGGAGCCCCAGGCCAGCCCCTGAGCAGGACTCTATGCCCAAATTCCTCTCCCTTCCCTTCCTCCAAAGCATTTATAGGACCAGATAGGTGGTCAAGGACCCTTGGAGTTCTGTCCTCTCCTGTGTGTCCAGCAGGCAGAGACACGCAGCCTGGCTCAGGGGCTGTCAGTGTGGTTGCCTGGCAGAGCTGAGTGCTGAGGCTGTGGCCCCAGCTCACTGCAGAGCCCAGAAAGGAGGTTAGGGGTAGGCAAGTTGGGCTGCACTGTGCTCTGTACTTCAGGTGCTTTGGGTCATATGTGCCTGTGCCAGTGTTTGATCTTGCGCTTGAGACGATGTTCAGGTCAACCTTCTGTCTCTAACCACATTCCTGGGCCATGGATCCTAGAGCCTCAAAGCTGTCATCTGAGCACTCCTGCTATATGGCTGATGCCACTCTTGTCCCAGAGGGAAGGTAGGCTGTGTCCTCACTGGAATCCTGGCCAGAATCCTGAGCAGGCAGTGTAACCGAGGCTGGAAGCAGTGTCCTCCAGAAGTGACCCATCCTAGAAGTGGATGACTGTCCTGATTAAATGACCTCAGGCTGGCCTGGGATTCTGGGGCTTCTTATTG